GGTTTTCCTGGATTTCCCCTCGGTTTTCCTGGATTTCCCCTCGGTTTTCCTGGATTTCCCCTCGGTTTTCCTGGATTTCCCCTCGATTAGTGAGGCTGAACCTGTCTGTCCCCCATCCTGGCCCAGCTCCCATCCAGAATTCCAAAACAATTCCTGCCAGAACCGTTTCCAAACAACGACCAAAATCAGCCCAAATCCCCTTTTTGTCCCTTCTCTCCCGTTTTTGTCTTTTTTCCCCCATTTTTGTCCCTTTTCTCCCCGTCCTCGTCCCCTCCCCAACTCGGGGCTGGATTTTGGGGAGTTTCTCAGTCACTCCCCACAGCTCCAACCCCCCCAGCTCATCCCACTCTGCTCCAATCCCGGGAAAACTGCTTTAATTCCCTGTATTTGGGGGGTTTTTCCAGCCTGAAAAGCTGATTTCCCTCCTTTCCCCCCCCCACCTCTCAGCCCAGCTTTGCTTTAACCCCCTGAAATCACCCCCAAAATGAAGATTAGCCCTGAAATGACCCCCAACATTATTTCTGTCCCTGAAATCGCCCCAATCCCGTTTTTCCCCCGTTTCATCTTATCCCCTCAAGTGCAAAAAAACCCGCCTTTAATCAATTTTTAACCATTAATAAACCCCTTGGGACCCCCCCCTGCAGGACTGGGGCCTCCTTGCCCCCCTCCCCCTAATTAGCCCCTCCCAAAATGACCAATTCCCACCCAAAACTGTTGCCAGAGCCCGTGGATTTGTCCCCAGTTCCAAGGATTGGGAGTCATCCGGGCTGGGATGTGACTCCACACCCAGCGGGACCCTTCTGGGGACCTTCATCAGGGAGTTAATCAATGACTAACTAATTAACGGCTCCCATTAATTCGTTACCGCGTTATCCCGGGATTTCCGGGAAGTGGATTGAACGCCCCCGGGCGGGACGAGCGCCAGGAACAGCCGAGGGGGGGGGATTAAACCAGGAGGGCTGACCCGGGGCTGACCTCGGGAAAAAAGGCAAATTCCCGCAAAACAGGGGGGAAAAACAACCAGGGGGAGCAGGAAAATAAGGAGGAAAAATAAAGAGGAGTGTGGAATTCACCTGGGTGTGAGGGATTCACCTGGAAGTGTGGGATTCACCTGGGTGTGAGGGATTCACCTGGAAGTGTGGGATTCACCTGGGAGTGTGGGATTCACCTGGGTGTGAGGGATTCACCTGGAAGTGTGGGATTCACCTG